TTAGTTCAGTGGTAATAGTGTTATTTTTGTATAACAGGCTTTTTTAAAGGAATATAATAGTGAATGCACTGACATGACTTTGAATGCATGAATAGAGTAAGTTCATTTCATCATATATGAAGAAGTCAAGTATCCGATTCATTAAAAACACACATAATTCATACTAAATTGATTATACATTGTTCAGTGTATATTAAACTTCGATGGTTTACAGTAAACATTCACTTCTTTTGCATTAACTTAACGGTTTCGTATAAATTATACAATTTGATGACAAATTTTTATCACAAAATTATATTATTTGAAAAGCTGTTAAAGATTGCGCATTATTGAACAGTTATTTGGCTACTCATAAAATAGCTCATGAGTAGTAGTATGCAATAGAGCGTCGCCTGAAAGTTGCTACCCAAAGAGAAAAGTGTCAGCCTATCAAACTACACAGCGTGGTCATAATATTTGCAGTTGGGAAGATGAGTGAGTGAAGGCAGTCTATAATAAATTTGAATTGCAGAACACAACAGATGTAAATGGATGGTTATCGACTTTGTTTTTACCAAACAATATGGATAACTTCTAATTCATAACCAATCAGAACATACGATGAAATAACCTGTCATATTTTTCAAAATTGCTGATTTCCATCTTCTTTTGTTTTTTGAACTTGTTCATCTTTTTATTTCGCTCTTTTTCTTAGGCATTTACTAACTCTGAATCATTTAGATGTTGAAAAATTTAACTATTCATCAAATGGATTGCACAGAACACTATTGACTGGATCTGCATTATGTTTATCCAACAATAGCAACACCACAATACAACAACCAAAATTACTTTGGTCTAATTCACCACGATTAAATTCTATATCAGCTAGTAAAAATGCTACTTATCATCCTCATCCTCATCGTGAACACCCTACAGTGGATCAGTTAATTCCATATCTTGTTAGATCAGCTGAATTATTCTTATCATTAGCCGATACATCATCTGGTCATGATAAATCTAGGCAACATTCAACAACAACAACAACTACTACTACAGATAATTCCGAAGTGAATACAACACAATTAAAGAATGAGAAAAGACAAAAATCAAGTGTATCTTATTGGTATGTTGAGTTTTTTTCGTGATGGGACGTTTTTTTTTGTTTTGTTTAATTGATGCATACTGAGGATTGCCCAGTTTGATGAACCAATTAAGTTTTGTTGGCGTTATCGTTTATTCTTTTCAATCCTACCATGTCAGACTGGTTATTTGTAGAGTTGTATAACTGAAAAGTAAGAAAAATAAAATCTAGGGACGATTTTATTCTGTTGACAGCAGTAAGATATTTCCCTCAGATATCAAGCATCTGTCGCGCCATTGCCTTGTTACAACCGGAGGAAGTGGTTAGAAGAAAAAAGAATCATAAAAAATGACATATCTCATTCTACTGTACAAAGTTCTGTCACGTGTGATGCGACTTTAGAAGTAGGTATCTAGCACATCTAAAACCGAATGTGTGTAATCAACCTCAAACAGTTGTCGTTTGGGCTTTGCAATCAATCACAACTCCGAATTCGTCAAAACCACTATTAATCCAGTTTTCTTTTCAAATACCTCAAGAAAACATATCTTCTCACGGTATGGAAAACAGGAAACGACAACCGGTTTCATACCTTTAAGATTCCTTTGACACAGATCAAGGTATGCGGAATGAGACCTTAAGATTTTAAGTAAGTGTATAATCACATTCCCTCATTAATGTGCCTTGTTTATAAATTCCTAACTATCTTTTGACTTTAAAGTGTGATGTGAGCACTGGGACACATCATATGTTGAAACTTGTCCAGTTTAACAGATTTGAACCTTCAATCAAATACGTGATAAGTTTGATCATTTCAACAAATTCACCATCATCCATCCCATTGTATGCATTATTTTCAACAACAATGAAAAAATAGTAATTATCATTTTTAATGTGACAGACAAATAATGTTAAGCTTCACTTTATTCATCTGTAAAACTACTATTCTCCAATTAGTTGGTTACTATTTAGATAGGTTCTTTTCTGTCACTTCATTTCCGAACAGATTGTAATCATACTTCCATACAATAGATGTTTGTCTAAGCTTTATTCTTATGTTTAACAACAGTTGTACTACAATTCTTTTATAGACTTTTGTTACACAATAACTCTTCAACTGTACACTTGAAAAGTTGATCATATATATATGTCTACTGATGAACTGATGAATTCTTATTTCATAATTATAATTTATTGTAATTTATTTCACTGTATAATAGTCCTGTAGAAAAACTGCCCAATGTTTCAAAAGAAGTGATATTCAGTGGTCATGGAGACTCGATACCTACAATCGATCCATTAACAAGTTTATCTCTTTCAAATCACTTCAAGCATACACCAGTCAGCAATAATGATGATGATGATGATGACGATGATGTTGATGATTTGAATAAAACATTGAATAATGAATGGATTGTTATTCGTACAACACCGTTACATCCTGTCTTGTTAACTAATAATTACCCGGAATTAATAAATTATATTAAACATGCTAATCTACGTGTATCACAACATCGTCAAGCTTGTAAATCATGGCATTCATTGTATTGGCCAAAAATAATGGAGCATCATAATAATAATAATAATAATCAAGCAAATCAATCTGTCACATCACCATCCATAAAAGATGATCATTTATTAGAATTACAAGAGAAACAATCCTGTTATGATTTGTATAGAACAACATTTCTGCATTCATCAAACACTACAAATCAGAATGATTTTGCAACATCGGAATTCATGCGGAATATGTTATGCACTACTAGAGATCATATGAAATCTAATCCAGATCTAATTGATCATGATAATATGATTGTTAATGGTAGAAATGAAGTAAACAATCATGGATCAGAGGATACATATGTATCTTCACCATTATTATTGCATAGTTTATCCAATCAGCATACTTCATCATTATATCAATTAAATTACCTGAATGATTCATCCGATGATGAAAATACTGAAGAGACTATGAAACAAGTGAACAAAGCAAATACTACTGATCATAATGACACCGGTATGATGACTATGAATAATGTTGACATGATGAATACCACCACCACCACCACCACCAATAATAGTAGTAGTGATACGATGGTTGATGAAACAATCAATTCATCCTTACCAATTGATAATCAACTAGTATCTAATGCTTATTCCACAGAATTATTTGATTCAACAACACCGGAAACGAAACAACCACCATTGCAATCATCATCATCAACAACAACACCATATCATGTGAATAATGATAATAGTAATCATCATCATCATCATCAGTTGGAATATGATTATCCTTCATGCACCACCACTAATAATAATAATAATTTATCAGATAATCATGTGATATCATCATCATCATCAGCATCATCATGTACATGTTTATCCACATTGCCAGATTTGTTGAGATTAGCTCATTTAGATGAGTCGACTATGGAATTATGTCATAGGAATAATACAGTGATGACAATGCACACTAAACCTGATGATGATATTATGAATGCACAACAGCAACAACAACAAGACTATGAATTAGAGAATTTTTTAGCTGCATTAGATTGTCTACCATCACCTGGACGGTGTATGAAACATTTTGGACATTTGCCACCATTTATTTCTTATGATAAAATTGATGAAGAATTTTTTAAAAAATTAGATAATTACTTGCAAGAATTTGAACATTCTAAAATCACTACTACTACTACTACTACTGATGAAGCAGATACAGTGAGTAGTAGTACTAGTAGTAGTACAGTAACTACTGCTAAAAATGATGATGATACTGTTAATCATCATGATAAGAACGATGACATTGAAACAAAATCTAAACCTACATTATCTTCATCAATGATTCGATCATGTACTGATGCTTTTGATTCGATATCATTAGATAGAATCGATTCAATACAACGCCACCGCCAACAACACCGACATTCAGACAATCATAGTAATTGTAGTCATCATTCACATTTGACCGATTTCTCATCAACTTCATCAACACAATCTGCAAGACATAATTCCAATTCAATCGGTGTGGCCGGTGGTATAGGTAAGTTTGTTGATGATAATTCTGCTTGAAATCTGTTCTTTGATAAGATTAAAATATATTGTGATTGATACAGTTCAATAATCTCGACCAACCCCTCCCTTGCATTGATGATATTCAAAGCTGCCAATCATTGATTTAGAGTTGAATAGTTAATTAAACCAGTGAACAATAAAGATACATGTAAGCATAACTATTAAAACACCATCATTTAAAAGCTTCGATCTATCAACCATAGAAAACTTTATATCACTGAAGATTCCGTCAATTTTAGTGCTCATGTTAACTATCAAAGTATAACGCGGTAGTCGATGGTTATATATATTTTATATATTCTGGTAGTTACAGGTGTGAAATTCTCGCCAACTGATTTGTGTTCTCCATGGAGAGCTTTAAACATTGTTCATGAAATAAGTATGTTACATCTAAGTGATCCTTTGAAGATATTGACTGTTTGGTGTAGACGCCAATTGAGACAAGTTATTATATTGAATGGCTGAACATATGATTTTATTTTCGGAATGATAAAACACTTCTTTTGTGGCATTTATAGCTTAAATCGGTTGTCAGAAGATTGTTTAGAATTCTCAGGTAACTGTAATGAGGTTGTCACGACGCTTACAGTATCTTTCTTTGCTTACCTTTACATGTGAGCTGATCTTCAGTACATACCAACACATGACTTCTTTTAGTTCGTAAATTAGTTATTGAAGTCATTGAGACATATTTTTAGGTGCTGACTACCACCTGGCTAGGGTCCGCAAGATAACCGCAACCAACATAGTTCAGAGTCGGCCGAATTTTTTTCTCACACATCCTTTTTTCATACTGTCTTTTCGAATTCTATTCTCGATGTTTAATCTTCGCCATAGTCATTTCTACTGAATCATTTCAATATCTTTTGCTATTCATCTTATCAGTTTTATTTCAAGGTGCTAATTTGTGTTATGTAAACTTGAACTAATGCATATTTCTACTGGATTCTTTGTTGACCACCGACTTCGGTGGTTTGGACATGTACTAAGAATGTTATCCCAGTAAATTCCACACTGTGCAGTATTCTCCAACTCTGGGATTGGTTGGACAAAGCGGAGTGGTGGTCAGTGTATGACATGGTATTGTGATATGAAAGAAAAGCCTAAAGGACTGGCATCTGTCAGCCCTTTACGGTTACCTGGCCAGGGCTTTGATATTCGTCAAGAACTTTGACGAAGAAGCGGCACCACTCTATAAATTGTTAAGCGACTCTAAGTTTACGTGGACAGAGACTGCCCAGCAAACGTTCGACCATATCAAAAACCTATTGGACGACCGCCGGATGACGCTACGATTACCTGAACCGGAAAAACTGTCTACACTGACAACAGATGCGAGTGACCGTGGAATAGGCGCCGTCTTAAGTCAATCTAACAGTGTGATAGAATATACGAGTCGCGTTCTCACACCCTCTGAGCAGAAGTATTCAACGATCGAAAAAAAGTGTTTAGCGATTGTCTGGGCAATAGAAAAATGGAGACCATACCTGCTAGGTAGGCGGTTCCACGTCGAGACTGATCATAAACCCCTGCAGTGGCTGAAAACAGCAAAAGACCCCCGTGGTAAGTTGGCGCGGTGGATGATACGTCTGCAGGAGTACGACTTCAGTATCGGCCACATTCCAAGAAGAGAAAATTTGGTGGCGGACTACTCATCGAGGCCGGAGATGGATGCTGAGCTCCCGATGACAGCATACGCAGTCGATAGCCTTGACGGAGACCCACTAGAACTCATCCGGCAGCAAAAGGCTGACCCTAAACTTCGAGAGGTGATCAAAGTGATAAAAGAAGGGGCAGATATTGACGAACGGCAGATGAACAACGAGGTATTAATGCTGCTTCGACAAAAGGAGAGACTGAGGATCAGCACATATGGATCCCTGATCTGGCGAGATGATGATGAAAATTGGGTGGCAGTGATCCCAAAGAACATGCGGCATAAGATGATACAGGAGTGTCACCAGGTAGCTCATACAGGTATCACACGAACGACTGGTCTAGTAAGACAAAGTGCATATTGGCCAGGCATGAGAGACGATGTGGCACAATATGTATTGACTTGCCAGCGGTGCCAACTAATGAAAAGTAATCGATACATACACCCGCCATCGCAATCAGTTCCCGTAAGTGCAGTTGGTGATCTATGGTCAGTGTATGTGATGGGACCGTTCCCGCAGACGGCCAGCGGCAATCAATACCTGGTGGTGATGACAGAACATGCCACACGGTGGGTAGACGCCGTACGACTTCCAGATCAGCGGGAAAAAACAGTGACGGAAGTAGTCATCCGGCACATTGTGGCATGTCACGGAATACTGAAAACAATATTAACTGATCAGGGTCCCTGTTTTGAAAGTGACGAGTTTAAGTCCAGTCTGGAACAGTTCGGTATCAAGAGAATACGAACTACACCATATCATCCACAGACTAATGGGCTTACAGAAAGAAACAACCGGACGATAAAGGAATGGTTAGCCTCTAAAGGAGGGAATTGGGAGAAGGAATTACCACTAATCTTGCTGGCGCATCGTGCCTCAATACAAGGAACAACCAAGAAATAACCTTTCCTGCTTATGTACGGGAGACATCCGCGACTGATATGGTGTAACTCAGTGGCTTGAGACGTTATCAGATATGACTGAGAACAGAAGCTACTGAAGAATCTGCCATAACTTTCTCTTATGTAACTGAAAGTATTCTTTTTGACTGTATTTTCCTCAACTTAACTGTTTCTCCCATTGTTATTACTGTGACTTCACTCTTTCTTAAACACTAATTTCTATTCATTTTGTTTTTTTAAAATCACTGTTCTCAATCCATTCACGGCCTGATTTCTAGTGTTTAGTGGCGCATTTATATGCTTTGGTATCTCCTTGTGCCAATTATTTATATGTTTTTTTTAAAAATAAATCTAAATCAATAATCTCACTATAAACTGCGATCTTTATTACTATTTATACATACATTAAGAATGTGATGCTTCTTTTTTTTATTTATTTGTTCTTTTTCCAATAAAATTCTAGGTCCATTTTTATCTATCCTCTTAAATCGTATGGCTAATATGCATAATAATTGTTTTTTCACTAATCTCCTCTTAACGGATATTTTTGCTGCATTGGCCTCTTATCCATGTCCGTTATTATATGAATTCTTATTAAATCCAATTGGTCTACATGTGAAACCATCAGTTAATACACTTTATAAAGTAAGTAAACTATATCAAATATTCTCTATGCATGATGGTTCTACCTGTATGAATCAATGTATATCCTTTTTTGTAATTATGTAGTCTGTTAGTTCAGAATGGTAAGTAAGTAATGTGTTTGAAACTCGAAACAATAAGGTGTAAATAAGCCTAGATTTTATAATCTTATGTTAAATTACTAATATCGTGGTGCGCGCTACTTATAAGTAGTATATGACGCGAGTGTAATGTCTGGCAGCAGAAGATTGGGGAAGATCAAGAAAGGAAGAGTGGGAACACAATGGAATTTGTATGAAACTCATGAATAGTGAAATGTCAGACAATGGATTGATGATGGATTGAAGATTTGCAAACTAACGGTTACGATATGGTTTTTCTATTTTACTGATTAACTCTGTAATTTTCGCTAAATACAATTCGGTTACCCTCACCTGTGTTCTCCGTCACTACAATATTACTCTCTACTTTCTACTATGAATTTATCATAATTTTGAATTTTCGAATTTTTCATCGTTCTAAATATCGATTTATTGGTAGTTCATGATCGTTTCAGTTAGATAGTTTCTATTTATCACTTACTTATGCCGGTTACCCCCCTCCTACCCTATTGAAGCATAGGCCGCCGACCAGTTCCTGAATAGCGTTTATTTAACAAGTTACTTTTCTATGGGATAACGTCGCTAACCCCATGCCCAACCTTCATCCTCTATCCGGGCTTAAAATCGACACTAACCTCAGAGGGGCTCCAATCGGAGTTTTTTTATTGATAAGTTACTAGTATTTGATCACATGAGTCTGCGAAGCATTCTATTATGACCTTCGACAGCTGACTAAACTCGCATAACGAAAACAACAATCGGAATGCGCTTCAGAGCTAATAAACTGGAGTTGGCGGCAAAATTCACGATTTTCTAGTTTCTCTGTGTGTTGCTCTTGAGTCCAGTCATCTAAGTCAACCTCCAGTATATTTGCATTTTAGAAAGAGGTAGTTTACATAGAAGCATATCACACCACAAAATAGATAATCACAATTGTACATGATCAAGCCAAAAGAGGTGGCTGTGAATAGGAAAGACTGTTAATAATCGAGTTGGAATAAATGGAGATTAATAAATTATATAGCAGTAGTTACACCATTCAATGAAAGCATATGATTGTAGTTTAATTACGTAATGGTTATACAATAAGAATATATAATAATAATAATAATAATAATAATAATAATAATAATGGTAAGTTACTATTACTACGATCTTCATTCAAATATAGCACATTGCTGGTAAATTTCAAGACGATTGAGCAAGCAACGCCAGGATAACGCATTCGGTTGACTTTAATTCAAGCCATCTGCCAGGTAGTTGTTGTTTGAGCACACTGATTTGTACTTTTACATGGTAAGTTTCAGTAGGGTGTAGCAGCTATTTGGTTTGTATTGTAACAAGAAAAAAGCGAGTTCAATTCATGTTCACTAGAATACTAGACTGGTAGAGGTCACTCAGCACACTTCACTCAATTCCCCAACTTATAATCAAGAACCAGTTTATATCAGAATGGAAATTTATCACCATATAGAGTTCAAAGCAGTCAACATAGAGTATAATCAGTTTTGCACTTAAAGTCATATCGCATGTATAATATAACTGGATATGTCTGTTTTCACTTACTGGACAATCAATCATCCTAAACTTCAATCAATTGGATGCCAGTTCATTAGTTCAAATATGCAGTTCTGGTCGCAAGACCTAGCCTACGTCCGATACGTGACAAGGTCGTTCGTGGCTGTTGATTAAAATATTTTTTTCGATTTCATTTTATTGCATTTTCCATCATACTCTTTTTATCATTTATTCATTGCATTCAGGTACTCCGTTCTGTGCATAGTCAAATTGTAGTCGCTTCAGAATCTGTTGAACAATGGAAATCACTTGTATTTCGTGCACGTGTTTATTTAAACATTGTATGGCCAGGTCCTTTCAAGATGACTATTGATCCAAATTTTTATGCAACAAAAGAAATTTCACAACGTACCAAAACTAATAAAATGATGCCAACAAGAGGACATCATTCAACTACTAATTATAGTAATATTCAAAGAGGTAATATTAACATTGTGTGTGAATATTAAGTTTGACTCAACACTTTTGTTATTTATTAGAAATCATATCAATATCAACGGTGACTACAATGTGTCGTCTGTGTTGCTAGTTTGTTTAAAATGATTCATAATTATTCACTTTTAATTGTAAATGTATTTTTTCTCTCAAAATTTCTGACTATTAGGCAGAATTTCGGTACAGTAACAACCTAAGATAACAGATACTTCATATTCATGCTTAAGTGAACTCTATTCGACTTACGTTTTGTATAAATGTTTACTCATTGGGAAAGTGTGCCTAGAATCTTTAGTCGCTTGGAATCCAAGTGATTTAATTTCACAGTCTGAGATATCTTCGCTAACCTTCTATAAGACTGAGAAATAATATATTGATTGTCGATCAGTAAATTAGTGACCAATCATCATAAACCATTACGGAGAGATAGAAGAGGGATCAATAATATGAAATCGAGTGATATCGTTGAAGTGAATATTGAACATTTACTGTGAAACAGATTACGAAGAATTTCAAAAAATTTATAAATATTCCCATTGTGGATATCATTATAACAACACATCTCATCATACTCTCTAGTATACATGAATACTTACATCGAAATGTTAGACTAATCATGCCAGTTTATGGAGTCAGTGATCACGATGAACTGAAATAGATTACGTAACTATACATGATAGGTGGAAA